TACGGCAAAAATGTATGAATGGGAGCAATATTTCAATAGAGAACAAAATGACAACATATAAATTAGCTACATTCAACCCAGGTAACATGGAGATTAGGGATGGGATAGAGCAGAAACAAAATGGGCAGGTGGGGGGCTGTAGATCAAAAGTAATGAGCAGGCATAGGCTAGAAGAAAAGTAATCATTCCTGGCCCAGGGGGTGTTCACAGCTTTGACAAATTCAGACTTGATAGAGAATTAGGGGAGATACACCAACCACAAGACTCTGTACACAAGAAAGGCAAGTTTGTGAGAATATAATATTCTGTCTGTATGATTGAAATGCTTAGTTACATCAAATTCTGTTCTGGTGGATAATTAACTCAGAAGATCATTATTTTTCTTGTCATGTCTACCAAGAAGGAAAGGAATAGATGATTTCTAAGGGCACTATCCTCGAAAGATAGAGTTAGATAATAAAGATAATTTTAATAAAGAAAACTAAATTATATAAGGTGGCTATTATCAGTGGAGAAATGAGGAGAGTCCAGAGCATTGGAGAAGGAGGACTGAGATCACAAAAGATTCTAAGTCACCTGACTTGCCAGCTGGTTGATGCTTTTTAGTTTTCAGGCCATCCATCAGAGTTTGCTTCTAGGTTAATTTTACCGACTTACTTTGAGAAAATAGGCTGACATGATGAGTGATGTCTGGAGAGAACTAAAGAAGAGGGGTTGGGAAAAAGGAATATGTTTGCAGAGGTGGAGAATAATTTGGCAAAAATGGGCATAGAAGTGGAGGAAGCTATGCCTTTGGGCTTCCATTTCTTTGGGTGGATCTTAACTAATGTGTAATTTACCTATCCTTATCCCACGCTTTCTTTAGGTTCCACACACACACACACACACACACACACACACACACACAAATGATGAATGATTATTTGCTTCTTGTTATCTCCATTCATTTTCCATGGAATAGTGAGGCCTATTTCATTTATTTTCAGAATGTGCCATGTAGTAATTAGAGTGCTACTACAGGTAAAAACCAAAACAAAACAAAAATCACAAGTTTGAATTTTGAGTCCTTGGTCAAATGTTTTTGCCTTCTGAGGTTCTCCTTCTTCTTTATATATGGCTATGTTCTCTCTCATAGCTTCCATAGATGTGGCTTTTAGTGACCTGATCTAATTTCTCCTTAGAATATCACACCAGAAGTCTATAAGATACCTAGGGTCAGAGGAATCATCTTATCCAATATTGTTTCCCAGGCATCTTAGCCCAGTCCCTATCATTTCAGCAGCTCAGTCAATATTCGTGAAAAAGAATAGTCATTATATTAATAATAGCAGAAGGAATAATCCCAATATGTACTAGATATATGACTTGAGGGGACAATTTATCACAAGATACTTTGTAAATTCTTCATGATTCTTCAAGGGAAACTATAATTGAAGATTATGTAGAGCATTCAAAACAAAAAGAACCACTATTTGATTGTAAGGACATTGTCATGTTTGTATTTTTAACATTTAGAATATCAGGATGAGAAACAAGTGCCTGGTTACAATGGAAGACTCACTCTTCATGTTCCTTTCAGTGGTCCTCAAGTACCTGAGGAACTTTCCTTATTCCTCAGGTAATCAGGAAGCCACTTGAGCTTTACAATGTGTTCCAAGCCCCTATCCCCATCTCCTTGGCCATTTTTCATCTTTAACTGATGCCTTTGGAACCAACTTAAATGCTGCTTTCAAAGAGTCAGTGATGCCCAGAACTCTAGTGAATGACATCCACGGCATGTTCCCTGAGTTTAAATTGTAGATCACACTTAGGGAAAGATTTTTCTAAATGCATGAGCAGCGAGAACATTGTTTATCTTTCCCCTAAAAATAGCATTAATACAAATATTGTAAAAATGAATAGTGGTCTTATTCAAACATCTTGTCTTCTTTTCCCACTAATGACCCAATTAGACTCCCTTTCCCAAATTCTTTGAACTTAGGTGCCCTGTGTGAGTAAATCCATGCCAAGTAAATATGGATGGAAATGATTTTTGCCCTTTAAGGTTTTGACATCCCAATGTGATATACCATACTGTTTCCCCATTACAACTAAGTAGAACAGACTCAGGACCATGGCCACATTTGAGGTTCTGTGTTGAAGATGGCAAAGCCACAAAATAGTAGGTATTTAGGTCCCTAGATCACTGTTTAGAGAAGGGCCAACCAAAGAAGCATCTCACCAGAAATTTTTGCATTGGGCCCTTATATGAAAAAAGAGCAATTTGTGTCATGATCTAATTACTGATAGATAGTTTTATGTTTATCTGTTTCTGCAGCTAGCATCAACTTAAGTGACATATGTCTTTTTAAAATACCATCCTGAAGAAACTTTTCCATCAAAAATTAAATTTCAAACTTTGTTAACAGCAAATACCCCTCAAAAACTTAAGTAGATAAATAAAATTATAAATCATATCATTAGGGAAATAGATCATGCTCTTTTCTCTAAATATCTTTTAATAAATTCATTATGTACAATATAATTTTAAAATAATCTCATGATTGTGGTTTCAGATTTTTTTCACTGGTGCAAAATCAGAGTTGAGATTGCTTTTTGGCTTAGAAAACAATAATGTAATTGGTTAGAGGGAGAGTCATGAATATAGAATTTCTGGTTTATATGCTGACTTTTCTTTGAGGATTGCTGATGGGGAGAAAAACACACTTCACTGTCTCCTCTGACAATCTCCCAGGCACAAGGATTGCATTCCTTTTTCTTCAGGTAGCAGGTGATTGCTTGGAAATACTTCTGGACAGCAATTCCCAAATAAGGACAAGAGAGATCTTCTTCTTTTGTCAGCTCCAGTTGACCCAGATTGTGGTCAGGTCTGGAGAGTAAGTGGAAGCAGGAGGATCTTAACCCAAGCAGCACGGTTTTCCTCTGTGTTGAAGAGGATGGAGATGGAAAATGGTGGAAACAGGTGTCTCATCTTGTGTCTTCTGGATTGGGGTGATATTCCCTCTTTTCCAAGGAAATTCGAAGTGGGTTCTGTCGTTCAGGCATGGATGGCAGGGGATCCTGTTCAGCTGTCTCAGTAGCATCGAGGCTTCCTGTTTCCAGGCCATGGTGCCAAGGCTTGCCTCAGCCAAGTGAGCAGGCAGGGCTGGAGCAGAGAGAGCATCACTCCTGCCAGTAGCAGGGAGGTGTGGACTTGCCACTTTCAGCGATTCACCAGCCGGCCGCCAGGGCGCGCCGCTGCGCGATGAGCGCGAAGCTCCCTTGGCTGCGCAGCGGGGGCGGCGAGAGCGCGGCTGCATGGCCTGGTCTGACGCGCGGGATCTAGGCGACCTGGGCTTTGCGGCCTTTGGCCCCAGTGGGTCCCACGGCCCGAGGGAAAAATGCCATCGTGGCTTCTAATCTTAGAAGACTGTGCAGCTTCAATAGTGAGTTAAAAAAAACTGCCTTTGATTGCTGAGATGGGAGCTCCGCGGCGGCTTCGCCTGAGACTCTTTCTTGGCGAACACAGAACCTTTCATTTCTCAACTTTTCCCTGTGCTGGGGGCTTTATTTCTCAGAGAGACTTTAGCGAGACTTACTTTTACAAAAGAACCCGTGTATTAAGGGACTGGAGGGCTCGAGATCGTACAGGCTGTGATTCTTAGAGATTGCAGTTGTGCGGGGTCGGGGTGCAGGGACAGCTTGCCACGGGGAAGGGGCCGACCAAGGGGCCTGAAGCCCTGCAAGTGATGGGGCCCGCGGAGAAAGTGGGGTGAGGCCGCCCACTGGGGGGATACAGGGGGGCTGCGCACCCCATGTTGGTGCAGTTTTGTTTTCCAATGGATGATTCTTCAACCTTACAACGGTTAATGCAGCTGGAAAAAAAATCAGTTATATTGAAACTCACAGCATTATTTTAAGTTTAAATATTTTATTTATACCAAAACAAGAATTTTACATGATTTTACTTTTAAAGGAAGAAAACTCGACAATGAAAAGTCACGATTATGACTTTTTCAACTGAAAGAATTGCCATGTTTGACAATTTCTCATGACTCTGGGACAATCTTAGAGATCATTTTTATGTAACTTCAAATAACTGAAACTTGTTTCTCAGGACCCCACCTGGACTTGTGTTACTAAAAAGAGAAATGAGCAGTGTTGCGTACAAACAGTTGAGGACAGTTAGCAGGTTAGAGATTTTCATTTTCTTGAGTAAGAATTTTATAGACTGAGTGGAATTTGCCATAATTTGTTGCACTGTGTAAGACTCTCAGGGATTTGCAAGGGCAGGGTCATTGCTTGTCTTTACCTACAATTTGATATTTGGTTTAGCCTGGATGTGAGGCATTAATTTTCATTTTTAAATGTTGTATTAAAATGGTGTTTATCTTGATTACTTAGATTTGTTTCCACCTGAAATTTTGTGTCTGATGGATGTGCTCACTCACTTCCCCTAATACCAGTCCAGGGAATAGCTTTTGAATTAATATTGAGATTTTCCATGGCTGAAAATCAAGGAATGTTCCATGTTCAATCACCCTCCCTCAATAAATATGTATACATAATATTTATGTATGTTAAATTTTTATACATTTACTATATATTATATATATTTGTAATACATATATAGTCCTACATCACTTAACAAGGATATGTTTTGAGACATGTATCCTTAGGTGATTTCAACCTTGTTGAAACATCATAGAATGTACTTACACAAACCTACAGAATGTAGCCTACCACACACCAAGGCTATATGACATAGCCTATTGCTCCTAGGGTACAAACCTGTACAGCATGCTACTGTACTGAATACTGCAGGCCATTGTCACACAATGGTAAGTGTTTGTGTATCTAAACACGTCTAAACATAGAAGAGGTACAGTAAAATATAGTATTATATCCTTATGGGCCACTGTTCCCTATGCATTCCCTTATTAACTAAAATTTTAACCCCTGCCTTTGAAAGTATCACCAAAGTTGGTTTGACTTAGAACATTAAGGAAGGGATTATTTATTTTATTTATTGATACTTTTCACAGAGCAGTCATTTTCTGTCAGACAACTTGCTGAGACACTGGTTCCCTGGGAAGGGCTTCAAATGGGCTGTACAGCTTTTCCCTGTACCAGGCTTAGCTCTGACAACTGGGACCTGGGCTCTGCCTCTTCGCAGTTCTACAAGCAGCCCGCTCTCCTGGTGTTTCCATTTGGGGAGCGCCAGGCTCCCCGACCCTGAGAGTGTCAGGGGAGCTGCAATCAAAGCTTCTCTTGGCTTGACTTGGTTGAACGTGGGCTATACAGATGACTGATATTTATTGTATTAATACTAAAGGTAACCATCATTTACTATTCTCAGATTCTCCACCAGTAATTTGCAAACTTTATTTAATCTTTACAATTTCCTATGTGACAACTAATAAAATTGTCTCAGGTTTTCAGAAGTGGAAAGGAAAATCTGATGTCATTTAACTTCCCAGGAGCCATAGATGTTGTCAGAAAGTGGGACTTTCTAATGCCTCCCAATTCCCTTCTTCATTAGCTCTCAGTACTTTTTAGCTGCACTGAGCATGCTAGTGTTTAATTAATCATAAATATGTCTTTAATGTCTGTCTTTCCTGATCCCTGGAGGGCAGTCACCATCCTGTCTTACTTATCCCTGAATGCACATTGACAAGCACATTGTCACATAAATGCAGTCAATACGCTTTAATTGACAGAATGAAGACAACTGGAGGGCTTAAGTCTTGGAGTTCCAGTGTTATGCCATGAATATGTGTAGATTAAATCAGAAAACATGAATTTTTGTTTGTAAACATGTAAAGAAAGGTAGAGGAAATCAAATATAGTGTATTAGCCTCTTAAAAGAGAAATGCAGAGAGTTGAGGCAACTTGTATTTCAGTGCAATTTAAGAAGTGTAAAAATAATGTCCAGGATCAAAACTCTAAGTAGTATTATTAGAATTTAAAAACAGACATAGACTCAGACTTAGTTCTCATGTGGATAAATACATCCTATTGGATTGAGATTTCTTTCATTTTCTGAGTGTGTTGATTTCCATTGTATAATAATAATACAAAAGAAGTGCTGAAGACATGACATTACCTGAGGTCCATAAATAGAACAGAAAGTGAATGAAGCAGAAACAAATTGAGGTGAGTAAAAAAATTGAAAGTCCTGATGGAATTTCACAGCCAGGCAGGTGTTGAGACATCTGGGTAAAGGCTCACTCAGCCTGGCCAGCTGCCTCCCACCAGTGGCCCTGCCAGCCTCCTCACCCCTGATGCGTGGGATGATGTTCTCCAGCTCTCTCTGCACCCTGAGCTGTGACCTAGCCCAGAGCCATGGCCTGACAAAGCAGGAGGCCTTCACAGTTCTGTGCCACATCAGGAGGGTCTTCCTTTTACTCTTGTCTGAAGGACAAGAATGTTTTCAGGTTTCCCCTGGAAGAGCTAGGTGGCAGCAAATTCCGCAAGGCTCTGGCCACCTCTCTTCTCCATGAGATGATCCAGCCAATCATCGACTTTTTCAGCATAAAAGCCTGAAATTCCTCACTGGACGTGATCAGTACCTAGAATTTCCGGAGGCCTGATTGGTGCAAGAGATGGAAGAGGCTCTTCCATCTTCCATGAGGACTGCATCCTGGTGTGAAGGGGTGTTCCCAGGGAACCACGGCCTATCTGAAAAAGAAAGTACACAGCTGCTGTGCCTGGGACATTGTCAGACTGGAAATTAAGAAGTGAAAATCAATCAGTGCATTCTCTGTGTTAACAAACTCATTGGAAAACCCAAGAGGTTTGAAAGGAGAATAATTGGGTCTCATCTAATAATATGTTGCCTCAAGCTTATAAAATTCATTCAATTCAAAGACTTTTACCTCCATTTCAGTTATAAAATGTATTGAGTCATTTTAATTAAATTGTTTTTCAATAAGAAGAAATAGTACAGTACTTTTGAATATAAAGAAATTACATTTTTAAAATGTAATAATTAAAATTCATCTCTTATGATTATTGCTATATCTTCAAGATTTATTCTTTATAAATGTAGTCAGCTTTGCCTTCTGGTTTCTTTAGTTTGGAAAGGGTTGTGGAGAGTTAAATCTTTACTGTGAAAATTTGGTATTACTCATACTCTTAAAGAGATACAAAGTGCCTTCAAACATTTAATGTGCCTTCAAATTCAAAAGGAACATAAATGACTCAATTCATCTCATTGTCTCATAAAATGTTTTGAAGTATTTCTGCTCCAAATAATTTATTGGTCTTTATGAATATATTAGTAAATAAAACAAAGATATTACTTTCTTTAGTGGAGCACTCTGCCAAAGAAGATAGGATTTCAAGGGCAAAAGATTAGGTAGGAATCCTTCCTAGAGCTATAAGGAGAAGAAGGCACTATGACAGATTATAGTAGCTGGAGCCAATTCACTTTTATTTATGCTTTTTAAGAAAAATCATGTCTAATGGTTGTTGATTCAGTTACAGTGGTTACATTAACTAGAAATTAATGTGAAATATGAAATCATCTACATAAAACTTCAACCAATAAGTAGTAAAGAACCTTATATTTTCAGGCACTGTGAAGGGTACTAGGTACAATGAAAAAATGTAGACACAGTCCCTGCTTCTGGGGAGTAACAGAGCTTCCAGTCTAGTGGGGTATAGGCAAGTGCAGTGCTTATTCCATAAGCGTAATGCTAATGGCTGTGGGAGGGAGCATGTAGCACTTGTGTGGGTCAGGGAAAACTTCCAGAACAAGTAGCAGCTTAAGCTGGCATCTTAAGGATCTGTAGGAGTTAACAAAGTAAATGTGCGATGGTCAGAGTGTTTCAGAAACAGGGAGCAACAAATGTGAAAGTAAGGTGGCCAGAGGGAGGATATATGAACAAGGAACCGAAAGAAGATATAAGTACACAGAGGTGAGGGAAGGCAGAGAGAGAAGGAGACAGGAGAACAGACGTTGGAGTAGGAAGTAGAGATTGCATCATAAAAGGTTTTGCAACTAGATTTGGTATCATCATTTACAGAAATGATCATTGGAAGTATTGAAGTGTTTCAAGAAGTGTGCTGATGGAACCAAATACGTTAGAAAGACTTCCAGAAGCCCTTTGAAAACTGCATTGGGGAATGAATGTGCATGTTGGATAGGAATGAGTAAAGTAGACCCATTAAGACATAGTCATTATTCCCAAAGAGAAAGATTATAGGTTTGCAAGATATTTAAAGAGTCTATTTAAAAGGAAAGTTAGATGACTAAACAGAGGCATTTAAAAGATATAATACTCATATAGAACTATTAGAAATAAGCTCTAGATTAAGCCTTCAGGAAAAATACTAATAATCAAAGCAGAGAACTGGCATGATGATAAAAAACAAATAAACAAACAAATAAAAAACATTTCTGGTGATCCTGCCCCAATGAGAACTGCAAGCAACTGCTGTTATATGATTCTTCTAGAATTCTTATGGTTTCATGCCTTACATTTAAGTGTTTTAGCCATCTTGAATTAACTTTTGTGAGTGTTGAGAGATAGGCTTCTGCATGTGGCTATCCCAGCACCATTTATTGAATAGGGCTTCTTTTCCCCAGTGTGCATTGTTGTCTGCTTTGTCAAAGATCAATTGGCTGTAGGTAGATGGTTTTACATCTAGGCTCTCTATATATCTATTTTTGTACCAATACAATGCTGTTTTGCTTACTGTAGGCTTGTAGTATAGTTTGAAATCTGATAATGTGATGCCTACAGATTTGTTCTTTTTGCTTAAGATCACTTTGAGCTCTTTTCTGGTTCCAAATGAAGTGTAGAATTATTTTTCTAGATCTGTACAGTATGGTTGGTATTTTGATTAAAGCTTCTGCACAGCTAAGGAAATAATCAACAGAGCAAATAGACAACCCACAGAATAGGAGAAAATATTTGCAAACTGTACATCCAATAAAGGACTAATATCCAGACTCTAGAAAGAACTCAAACAAATAAGCAAGAAAAAAAAAGTAACCCCATTATAAAGTGGGCAAAAGACATCAACAGAAGCTTTTCAAAAGAAGATAGACAAATGGCCAATAAACATATGAAAAAATGCTCAATGTCTAATCATCAGGGAAATGCAAATTAAAACTACAACGAGATATCACCTTATCCCAGTTAAATGGCTTTTATTAAAAATTCCAAAAACAATAGATGCTGGTGTGGATGCAGAGAGAAAGGAACACTTATACACTGTTGATGGGACTGCAAATTAGTATAACCTCTATGGAAAACAATATGGAAATTCCTCAAAGAACTAAAAGTAGATCTACAATTCAATTCAGAAATCCCACTATTGGATATCTACCCAAAGGAAAATAATCTTTTTATCAGAAAGACACCTGCACTCAAATGTTTATTGCAACACAGTTCACAGTTGCAAAGATGTGGAATCAATGCAAGTTGAAAAGATGTGGAATCAATGCAAGTTGAAAAGATGTGGAATCAATGCAATGGGCACATTGCATTGATGTGCAATGCAATGATTGTGCAGTGCAATGATGCATCAATGCAATCAATGTGGCCATCAATTCATAAGTGGACTAATAAAATGTGGTATATGTATAACAAGAGTACTACACAGCCATAAAAAAGAATGGATGCCTTTTAAAATAATTGGGAAGAACTGGAGACCATTCTTCTTGGTGAAGTATCTAAAGAATGGGAAAACAACCACCACATGTACTCGCTATTAAATTGAAACTAACCAGTGGGCATACATGTGCACAAAGGGAAGTAAAACTCAGTGGAATTCAAACAGGGGAGAAGGGGAGCAGGGGAGAGGCAAAAACCTATCTAATGGTTACAGTGAACACTATTTGGGTGATGGACACACTTATAGCCATAAATCAAGCTTTACAAAAGCAATCCATGTAACCAAAAACATTTGTACCACCTTAATATTTTGAAAAATAAAATACTATTTCATAAAAAAAGAAGTTTGAGTATGAACAGAATGATAGAAATAAGATAATACTTACAGGTGATTGTAGGGATGAGGGATGTTTGTATTTAGGATAAAGGAGATGAAAATTAAACACATTAAATATAGATCAAAACTACACAGTATAAAGGAAGATGTTAATACAGGCAAGAGAGGAGGTAACCAATAGAGCAGAATCATGTTCCTTTAACCCTCTCTGCTTTCCCATCTAGGGAATCCCTCTTAAGAATGAAGCCTTCTGAAATTATCTATTTGGTGTAACAGAGGTTTTTCCACCCTGGGGCGTTGTACCTTGGTGGGGCTTGGTATGGGTAAGGGGGACTTTCGTTTGCAAAGTGAGATGAAATCTAGTTGTGAGAGTGGGAGTGGGCCTAGAGATAGGCCAAATTCCCATCTCCCTTGCCAAGCAGAGCACGTTTTGGGGGGGGGGCACATCAATCAAGGTTGAGGTTGTGTAAAATGTGTTTCTTAAAGCACTCCGTGTTTGCATGCCCCTGGGGAATCATCACATACCCTCAAGGATACAAGTGTCTGGGTTTGAACACTGTCATATGCATAAACAACAGTTTCTTGCAGTTGCACTTCTCTTTACTTACCAGGAATCTCTTTCCTTTGGAAAACAAATGAGAGAATCAAATCTGTGTTTTGTTAAAAAATGAAGGCCTTGTTTTCCCCAAACTGGAAAATCCCAATAGATTTTTTAAATAATTTTGACTCTTTAGTTTCTGAAGAAAATTTGGAGACCACTTAACCAATTGTTCCCTAATGGTGGTCTGGTCTAAATGTTTGCATCAGCCACTCCTCTCATGGATAACTAGTAAGAAGGGGAGATCAGGGTGGGGTAGGAATAGTGAAATTAACCACTTGCTGGACAACTTCACATATCATTGAAAGTCAGTGAATTGCACTATCTGGAAAGTCACAATATTTTTTCTTATTTCCTGAGTTTTCTTGGTGACCTTATTAATAACAATTAAAAAGAACCTACTTGATTCTAGGGCCTAAATTATTTATTAATTATTTCCTGGTCCTTGAGTAGGCCAAAAGGCAGATATTATTTCTTGTAAATTTAAACTTCTCAGGAAAAAAATATTCTGAAGGCAGTAGATCATTTTGCCTGCATTCTGAGTAAAATAAACCCCAGGTATACTTTCAATTTAGAAGTGGGTGTGTAATATCTATCAGACAGTGTCTGATGAAGAAGGATAGCCATTTACTGATGAATCCAAACTCATTAAGTTTTTAAATATTTTTTTATTTTATACTTTTTAATACATTGTTATGAAGGTTTATTTCTTAATAAAATGTATTTCTGTACATGTTTAAAATTATGTTAATGTTTATATATAAAAAGACTTAACACTTGTTTGTGATAGGTATCAAAGAAAAAATATCTCTAATTTCATTATCTGATTTAAATAATTGATGGTACTAGTTTTAAATCCTGGGCATTTGTTTTGCAATAGTTCATATTGACATAGATAGGAATTTTCCATTCCTTCTATACCAAACAATATTATTTTTTAATTATTTGAAAGATCCATTTTAAGATATTTTTTAAATGTTCAAAGTTTATCTAAACTTTTAAATAAGCAGATTTTAAAAATAGATTATAAAATTCAGTTTATCAGTTTGTTGTTACATGTTTAAATGTGAGAAAAATAAATATAGGTGTCAACAAAATCACATGATGACAGAAATAGTTCTAAACACCAAAATGACTGCTTACTAATGCAAGGTTCCCTTTGAAAAGCAAGTTCTCTTCTTTTTAAGTTGAAACACCACCTTTACTTTGAAGGAACAATTGGTGCTTTTGATTTATTTTTATTTTATTTTACAGCAACTTTGTAGCATATTTCTGACAACTACTTATCATTATAGAAAAGGTCAGAAAAATTGGAAAGCTCGTATATGAAAAATGTTTAACTTATCTTTGAGTTGGACAACTCAAGTACTTAGATAAAATTGAAAGTAGTTAGAAGTACTGAAGTTTTCCTTCAGCACCCACTTTTGCACACCACCTTTAGAAGGGTATATCACTTGACCTATTCCACTATCACTTGACCACAGGCAAAGCACAAGGCAACCTCCATGACACTTCTAGACTCGCACCCTGTCCTCAGTCTCTCTTCAACCTCACTCCCTCGTCTCCTGGTGTTCTTTTTTCATTTTTTAAATTATTATATAATACATAATGGATCTTGTCTTAAGACTTCTTATTAAATGACAAAAAATATGTCTACAGTAAAAGTCACAAAAAGATGACTTGATTTTGGAATTGGATTTCATGTATATTCTTTGGGGAAATATTGTACACTAGTTATTTCTTCCCCTCTACCTAAACTTATCTAAACATATCGAAACACTGTAATAGTAAATTATCATGGGAATCTGTTCTATTATTTCCACATATTTAAATATATCAGTGTTAATAAATTTACATAGAACTTGTATGATTATGAAAACATTTTCAAATGCACTTTTGAGCCAGGCACCCTGGCGAGCCTTTAGCCCCAGCGACTCAGGAGGCTGAGGCAAGAAGAGCAATGATGGCACCTGTGAATAGCCATTGCACTCCATCCTGGGCAAGACACATGTCTCAAAAAAAGAAAAAAAAAGTAAATGCTCTTTCACCATTCACTCCCTGAGTCGCTCTTATCCTGATAGCTCCTTCTGTGCAAATTTCTTTTCTCCTCAAACACCAACATATTCATTCTTGTAGCCTGCTCCTGCTTCTTGTTGTTTCCTTTTTTTCATTCATATCCTTGTGCCTTTTATAGATGGGGCTGTCATTTCTCTCCTCTCCTTGATTCAGCACCTGTGGTTTTTACCTGTGAACATAGATATCAGATCCTCTTTTAGAGAAAGGGTTAAGAATAATTATACCTGACAATTTTGTCTCTGTCATGTATGATTTAAACTTGAAATATTTGGTCACAAGCTCAGCTACTGTATCATAGATGCTACATGGATGATGCCATGAGGAGATCCCAGGTTATGTGGTTACATGGCAATGTTCCATTAGAATGTCTTTTATTCTGTATATTTATTTGAGGGTAAAGAACACATTCCTTGATGCTGCCTTCATTTGTTTTATGGCACATTAATCTTGAATTGATTGCAAATTCTCTGATATTTTCACTAATTTATGTCTCACCTCCAAATTTGTAGATGTATTGACCAAAGACAAGGAAGTATTTTGATTATTTTACATAATTGGCAAAATGAGATTAACAGTTGGCAGTTATTTCTGAGAGTCCAAAATGCGCTCAACAAGATCAATCATTCTAGTAATTATTAGTATAAAATAACCATACATTTATTATGGTCCAGATGCTTCATGTACATTGCTCAGCTAATTCTCACCGTAAGTTTATGAGATGCGTGGAAGACGCGACGTGCGAGAGTTATGGTCCTTGCACCAGAGAGTGAGTGAATTATAAACATTTCAGTGACTCCTCTGCAGAAAACACCGAGCTAGTGGCTCTCGTGAGTTAAAAGGAGAGGCCAGAGACTTATGCTACCTGCTACCAACTTACGTGAATATGGGAAGTGATTGGAAAAATAGAAGATGGCATATACTGATGGGTGAAATGTGAGAGATCAGCAGAGACAGCAGGGAGTGGAGAATTGCACTGAATCACCAAGACAATATGAAACCGAAGACGCCGCCAAGTAAGCGCAAAGGCCCCTTCGCTGCGCCCAACAGCCGGCAGGGGGCGCCCGGACCCGCCGTAACCGACCAACCGGCGCGGCGGACGAGGGGTCCCCGCGGGGTGTCCGGCGCCGCAGACTTCAGCAGGGGACGCGGTGACCGCGGCGGCCGGGGCTCCGCAGGCACCGTGGGGCCGCGTGCGCCGCGAGCGGACTGCGGAGCCCGGCTCCGCGCAGCTTCGCCGGGGACGAGGCCCGGCGAGGCCGTTTTACCAAAAGTGCCCATTTACTGAGGGGGCGGGCGGCTCGAAACCAGATGGTGCCGCAGTGTGTGCTGCAGACTCAGGATCGTCTCTGGGGACAAAGACGGGGATTCCGAGAACGGGGAAAGGCGGGAACGATCGGGGCACGAATCTGCGAGATACTGATCGGGACCTTCCCGTGGACACGGCAGTGCCCGGCGAGACTTAACGGGAGACCAAGTTGGAAAAAGGAAAATGTGTGGATGATTTTATTAATTTGTGATGGCTAATTTTTCCTGCAACGTAAAGTAGTCGAAGAATATTGGGGGAACTTAAAAATGGGTTATTAAAACCCAGACTTTCTACACTTTAAATATTTTATTTTATATACAAGCCAGAATGTATTACGTTAATAATTTCTTGGGCTTTAAATGAAAGCAAACTTATCAATATTTTTAGGGTTATTTCTTTGCTTATCTCATTTTCAATGGAGGGAATTGCTATCTTAATTACAGCTTACTGACACAGTTTTTCTCCAAATAAGTATGAATGTTTGATAAAAACTATCTGATTTATATCAATGGAATGGACTTTGCCAAAATTTAATTTTGCTCTGAGCCCTCCACTCAGGGCTTGCCATTGTGGAGCCAGATCTTGTCCTTATTTAAAATTGTGAAGGACACACATAGACTGAAAAGAGAGCAGAGGTAGCTATACTTAGATAAAATAGACTTCAAATCAAAAATTGTAAAATGAGACAGATCATTATTGATAATCTGTGTGTGCAGCTGCTCCCCATCACTGCCATCACCGCCTGGGCTCCACCTCAGATCATCAGGCATTAGATTCTCATAGGGAGTGAGCAACCTAGGTCCCTCCTCACATGTGCAGTTTATGGTAGGGTTGGTTCCTACTCCTATGAGAATCTAATGCCGGGAGGCGGAGCTTATGCAGTGATGTGAGTGGTGGGAGCGGCTGTAAATACAGATGAAGCTTCACTCACTCCCTGCCGCTCTCCTCCTGCTGTGCAGCCCAGTCCCTTAATAGGCCACCAAAGGGTAACAGTCTGCAGCCCAGGAGTCGGGGACCACAGACCAAAGGATTCAAAATTTTAGTTAGAATAAGTAAGTTCAAGAGAGCTATTCAACAACATGGTGACTACAGTTAATGACAATGGATACTCTTGAAAATGACTAAGAGGATAGATGTTAAGTGTTCTCACCACACAGATGGTATAAGAGGTAACTTCCGCATATGTGAATTAGCTTGCTTTAGTTATTTCACAGTGTATACATATTTCTAAGCAACATTTTGTACACAATGTATACAATTTTTATTTGTCAATTAAAAATAAAATTTTGATATTTTGTTCATCATAGAGTTTTAATCATAAGTTTTATTTATAAAAATATCACACTGATATATTTTTCTGCATTACTGAGTCCTTTGGCACCACCTTCAATTTGTACCTGAGGCAAGCACCTAACTTGCCCCTCCTTGACTCCCCACACTGGAAAGTGTTTATGATGCCAAGTGTTGTGATTGTCCTTCAATGAAAATTATGTCTGAAAATTAGAGAACATCTCCCACTGATTTTTTTTGCAAAGTTATCTTTGTCTTTATACTAACAACATTGTTTTACCTGTAACTTAAACAGTATCACCAGATGTGGTCTAACTTTAAGCGAAGATGTGGAAAGATATTACATTATTTATTTATATATTTCACTGAGTAGTTATGATCTGTCAGGCAAAGTACTTTGACCCTGGGTCCTCTGACAAAGCTTCATCTGTGCCCTGAGACTTTTCTCTTGTTCCAGGCAAGGCTTAAGCATTGTGAGTCTGGGCTCTGCTCCTTTCCGGCCTTGCAGACGATCTCTGTCCTAGGGTTTCCAGTTGGAGGACACCAAGTTGTCTAACTCTCAGAGTGTCAGGGGAGATTCTCTCAGTTATAACAGAACTTCACTTATCTTGGTTGAACCTGGATGTGATGATTAGGGTGAACTCTAAAATCCACTAAAAATGTGTTGACTAGAGAAACTATTGAAAGTTGTTAATTTTTTTGCAACATACATTTCTGGAGAGGAAGCTCATCTATTATGGAAACTTCCGTGTCCATTTCATAACTTTGAGCGTTTTAATTATTTAATGATATAAAGAGTTTAATTGAATCATGAAAAAAAATAATAAATTTGTATGGTTTATTAAAAAACTGATCCTTTCTAATCTCTACCCTTAGACGGACAGGCCTATTTTATACTAGTGTCATCTAATTATTATCAAATGATTTGAGGCCTAAGTTTCTGAGTGATGGAAAAAGGATAGCACAACTATTTACAGTTCACACACTCATTCAGGGTGTTTGGTTCTCATTGACCAGGACCGGAAAGGTAGAGGATTGATGATTGGGGAACATGGCTATAACCCCCCAAAAGGTAGTGCAGTATGTTGAAAGATTTCCATAAGCTGTGTGAATCATGGGGAGTTTGAGTTCAGGTATGTGGCTCTGTATGTGATGCTAAGCTAGTTATTTTCTATTATGATAAATAGAGGGCAAATTAGAGATGAGGTCATACTTGTGAGTTTAACATAATGCTAAGCAAAGGTTGAAAATTATGGATGCTCTTGCAATTTGAATCCTGAAAACCATATAAACTTCAAATGAACTAGATATCCAAGTATCTCATTTTAGCAATGAATTCAGTGGATATTAGTGACACTAAGAGTAGTATAGAAATAGTAGCCATTGTCTGTTCTCACGCAATTGGCCAAATTGAATAAACGTAAGAGCTTGTTATTGATGAATACATTCCAGTAGGAAGAGAAAATCTGACAAATTACTTCAGTACAAATTATTTCATGGGTGATTACACTAAGCCTGGTGCTAAGGATAACACAGTGAAAGAGACACAGTCCAGTTATTAAAGAGTTGATTTGGCCGGGCGCCGTGGCTCACGCCTGTAATCCTAACACTGTGGGAAGCCAAGGCAGGCAGATTTCTGGAGATCAGGAGTTCAAAACCAGCCTGAGCAAGAGCAAGACCCCGTCTCTACTATAAAAATAGAAAGAAATTAATTGGCCAACTAATATATATAGAAAAAATTAGCCAGGCATGGTGGCACATGCCTGTAGTCCCAGCTGCTCGGGAAGCTGAGGGAGAAGGATTGCTTGACCCCAAGAGTTTGAGCTAGGCTGTGAGCTAGGCTGACACCATGGCACTCACTCTAGCCTGGGCAACAAATCGAGAGACTCTGTCTCAAAAAAAAGAGTTTTGCTGCGAAGATGGTCCCATACCTACCATTTAAAGAGTAGGAATCTAGAGGGTTGAGGCAATCTAATTTCCTATGCAAAATAAGAAAGTAAAGCCTGAATTCAGGATTGGAGCTATAAGTTAATTCTTCCTATGATAATACTCAATATTTATCTAGTTTTGAATTTAAGACAAAGATAGTTGTCTTTTGTTTGATAAGAATCATCTTGGTTTGAAACCTTTGAAAGGCCTTCAGGAAATTTGAACTTCAATGCAAAAATACAAAGAAAGATTCAAATTGATGGTATTTTCTAAATTATGTATCTTCATTAGGGATGGTATTACTCCCTGGGGAGTGAAAATTAGTTCTTGGGGTGTGATTAAATCTTAGATATTACAATGGTTTGTGGGCTTCCAAAGCCTACCTTTATCCAAAAACATCTTATTCCCCAGTATTCATTTTTCTCATTGAGTTTTCTCATGTATCACAAGACAAGCATTGACATTGAGTTCATGGAAGATAGACAAAATGCATGCAAGATCAGTGCTATAAACCTGTGGTGAATAGGTGGCTCAGTGTGGACTTTACCATCATTTGCCTGATTTCAGACTCATATTGTAAGAGGTGGATTTTGCTTACTTACCGGCTCTCATTGGAAGTATTGTGGATGTCGCTATATTTGAGCCTCAGTGCTTCTGAGTATGATTTGTGCATTGAAAATTAAATACAAATAGCTTATATTTCATAATTTAATTTTACTACAATTTTTCAGCACATTAATAAATATGTCAAGATCTAAAAAGAAAAAAATATTGAAAATCTTTGGATGAATATATAGCATCTACTGAAGTTAAAAATTATTTTCTCATATGAAGCAAAATTATATTAAATACTCTAAAAATCAATATTAAGAAAGTAATTTCATTTTTTTACCTTTTTAAAAAGTGTTTTGAATGATTTTAAGTATATCATTACATTGGTATTATTATATATAGATATTTATAAATTTTTAATTTGCAATGTAATTTCATATATTATGATTTATATAAGTAAAGTGAAATTCATTCTACAAATTTAGTAAAAAAGTTAAGTTAAAATCCATAGCTTTTTGATTTAACCTTTAGCTTCAAATTTTTACCATTCTTTACTCTGCAATGAATAAAAAGAGTAAACTTCACACTTCATTTCTTTATCTTTAGAGATACACATTGTAGGTAACATAGACAGTAGAGCCCACGTGTACTATCTGTCATGAAATGTAATGGGAGTTTTAATTAGGAAAAAATTTCTAAAATGGATTGAGGGGAAAGGAAGGGAGACAAAAAAAAAAGATCGAGAAACACTGCCCTAAACTCATGTAGAGAGTACATAAAGAAAGCAAAAACAGAAGGGAAAGGAATGAGAGAATGTTAAGAAAATGGAACACGTAGATGGTTCCCTATTTAAAGGCCTATGCACACAGCAAGTCGTGGTCAGGGAAGCCTAGAGGACCAAAGGGCTCAGCGTTACCTTCACTCAACCGGCCCAGCAGCAAGCTTGACATATCGCCAATGGCCTCGGTCCCTTTTCTCTAGCTGATGGCGGGGGCTCAGCTGGCCTGTCCCCTCTTGCGGCTTTGGGGTGTGCAGCTGCTTC